GCCCACCCTTGGAGGGGGTGAGGCAAGGTACTTGGGAGCCATCCCCTACCCCCAACCTCCCAATGTGCCTTTGGGTTTGCTAATTTTCCTAGCAGCCTGGCCCAAGGTAACCTCCTATACCATGAATTATGGTAGTTCGGGCTAGATTTGACATTCCCTCACCAGCTGCCTAGCTGTTGGGTTTCCAGGTTGGTTTTTCCTTCAGCTCTTTCCTGCCGGAGCTCTCCCCACTCAAACCTTTTTAAACTAAAGCATCTCCCCTTCATCCTCACACCTCTCCCCACCCCCGCCCCGCCCCGCCCCGCCTTAGGACCAGCTGTTGACTGTGTTATGGGTGAGTTGTGGCACTTGCTCACTTCCCAAGAATCCAAGGGAAGAATGAAGGCCCTCTCCCCTGACTAGTCCGGCGACCTTCTGCAGCCTCTCCCAGCTGCAGGTAGCGGCTCTGCTCATCTCCAGCCCACTGCCTCTGCACCCAGAAAATAATAGCTAATGCCTTTTCGAGTGTTTACTGCGCAGCTGACCTTGGGCTAAGAGCTTTGTGTGCAAGCTTTCACTTGCCCCTCACAGCACCTTCAGGAGGGTGGGGACTATTTCACAGATGAGGGCACTGAAGCTCTGAGAGCTGGATGACTTGTTAAGGTCAAGTGCAGTGCAGACGTCAGGACCTCCACCCTTAACTGCCACTCTGTTGACAAAGCAACTGAGCCTCCTTTGGAGGTGAGTTCCCAGCCTGGCTCCCCCAGCGACCCAAGGAGCACCTGTTACCTACACCCCAATTTGGCCAGCTGGCTCCTGGGACCATCCAGCCCTCTGGAACTGGAGCGTCGCTCTGGCTTACTCCATCTCCAGGCATTGCCCACAGTTGTTCTCCCTGCTTCTAGGGCTTCGCTTTCCAGTTGTAACCAAGGGTCTGTTGTGGCAGTCTCGATGGGATGGCTGGCACTGGGACAGCCATCAGCTGTGTGCGTGGCCAAGCTGGCTGCTGGCAGAGTGTGGAATCTACAGGTCCATCACCAGGGACACGTGAGGGATGTGATGCATGACCCTGAGGAGGTCGTATGTCAACAGGGGGCATGTGCAAGTGGACTAACCCTGCATCCTTACAGAGGCAGGAGAGACTGCCCTGGGTGGACAGACATTGGGTGGTGATCGCAGATGGCCTCACTTGGATTACCTCACCAAGCCCTGAGCTCTCTGGATTAGTTGTTCTGGGTAGTTCCAATGTCCTTGGATTTTAAAAAAATATTTTATTTATTTATTTGATAGAGAGTGCACTTGTGCATGCACAAGTCGGGGGGAGGGGCAGAGGGAGAGGGAGAAGCAGACTCCCCACTGAGCAAGGAGCCCAAGGATCCCAGGACTCTGGGATTGTGACATGAGCCAAAAGCAGCCGCCTAACCAACTGAGCCACCCTGGTGCCCCTCCTCACCTTTTAAATAAGATTTATTTATTTATTTGGGAGGGAGGGGCAGAGGGAGAGCCAGAGAGAAACTCAAGCAGACTGTGCTGAGCGCTGAGCCTGTTGGGGGCCTGGATCTCATGACCCTGAAATCAGACCTGACCTGAATGGGGGTCTGCTTCAGTTTCCTGTCTCCCCACATTCTGCATCTGCAGAATGCCCTCCCTTTGTTTGGGCTTCTCTGGTCCAGAGTGGACCTCTCCATCCACTCCATGAACGCTTGCCCCACCCGCCTAATCCTCTTCCCTCTCTGTGGGCTCCCTGTCTTCTAGAAATAACCATGGTCAACTTTCTCCCATCCAAAAGAATCACCATATTGTACACTTGAAACTAAAATTATACTGTATATTAACTAACCGGAATTTAAATAAAAACTTTTAAAAAATGAACAGCCCCCAAATTGCTCTTGATCTCACCTACCTCTGCCCTCCAGGTGCCACTCTCTGTTCCTTCCTAGCAGAGCTCCTCGAAAGAATTCAGTGCATCCCCAGGTCCCCCTGTCCCCTTCCCATCCATCCCTCCTGTTCTCACTTCCACCTCACCTCTCCCCAAAACAGCTCTGACCAAGGTCACTGGTGACCTCCTCATTGTCCAAGTGAGCAGACACTTTGTGTTCTTCTCATCTTTCCCAGCCTCTCAGATGTCATCTGACACCACTGATCTCCACTCCTGGAGGCTTTCCTCTGTCTGTTTCTGGGACACTCTCTTCTCCTTCCTCCCCCCCACCTCTGATCATTCCTTCTCAGCCTCCCTGTGCACTCCTCACCTTCTACTGTCTCTTCATGTCCATATTCCTGGAGTTCTGCCCTCACCTCTCTTCCCTTTATGTAGACTCAAGACTTTAACACACCAGATGCAGACAATGTCCTTATCTCCACCAGGGATCCCTTTCTCCTAAGCCCTAGACTTCCATGTTAACGGGAACATTCTACAGGCAACTCAACTTCGAGATGTGCTCAAATGAATTATTTTCTCCCCAAACCTGCTCTTCCTCCTGTATTCTCTGTCCCCTCTGATGATCTCATCAGCCACCATGGCCTCCATGTCAGACATTTCAATGTCATCCAGGCTCTGCCCTCACTGCTGCACCCCACAGCTAATTTGATGTCAGAGCTGTTGTTAATTCTTTCTGATTATCTCTGGACTCTGTCTCATCCTTGTATACCACCTGCAGAGCTATGGGACAGGCAAATCTGATGATCTCACTCTCTGGCTTAAAAACATTCAGTAGCTCCCCATCACCTTCAGAATGGTATGTTCTTGGTTTAGATCCCTGGAAAGGCCATCCTTTTCATCAGGGCCAGGACTCAGGTGAGACTAGCTGAGTGCCTGGGTGTACAGTTTAAGGAGGGGCTCGTTCTCAGGCTTGTTTGTACAAGCACCTCTATGCATAGGGCACCCTAACCCTCCTTGGCTCACTTCAGTCCTGGCCCTGTTTCTCATGGCTCCACACCTTTGCCCGTGGCCAATCTCTCCACTCCCAACACCCTTACCTCTCTCTACTTTACCAACTCCTACCCATTCTTTGAGACTCAGTTCAAGGGCCACCTCCTCTGAGTGACCCTCCCTGATTCACCCAGTCTGAAGTCTATGAAGTCCATGTTGCCCTCCATCGCACCAGCCCCAATGGCTGGTTTACTCCCCAGCCTCCACCACCAGCCTAGCACCTCTGAAGACAGTTTGTTGAGTGACTAACAGAGGGAACAGATGAATGTCAGGAAAGAGGTCTGCTCAAAGTTATTGTTAATGAGACTGGAGTTTAGGGCCAGGAACCCAGTCTCTCATGGCCTTGCTGTAGAGGCCTGCATGTCCTAGCAGCTCAGACTGATGCCCAACAGCAGGCAGCAAAGTCCCTATCCAGCGGTCAAGACGAGGCTGTGAAGGAAGAGGGAGAGAGGATGGCCTAATGGCCATTTCTGAGGTTCTAAGGTTCCACCAACTGGTGGGCAGCTGGTGTAGACACATCCCACCACCACGTCCTGCTTAGGAAGACATTTGAGTCCCCTTGGGATCTGGCCCCTGATCACCACCTGGCCTCAGCTCTCTGCTTCTTTGCTCTCTACCATTGGGCTGTTCTAAATGATTTGAATTTCCTTGAAGTTTTCCTGCTCTCTCACATCTGAGAGGCCTTTACTCGGGCTGCTCCCCTTCTTCTGAAATGCCCCTTTCCTCTCTCCTGCCTACTTCCAGCAGTCCATGTTGCCTCCTCCAGGAAGCCCTCCAGTCTGGGTGAGGTGCCCTCCTTTGTGCTATGACAACACCCTCTAGCATGGCCCTTAGGAGGGGGCTCGATATTGCCTCTAAATGCACAGCTCATCTTTCTTGGAGTCACCATGGGCCAGGACCTGCTCTAAGCCCCTTACATAATTTACCTTGTTGACTCCCACAACTACCTCATTCCTTGGGTGTTATGTCCTGTTTTACAAATGGGGAAATGGAGGCTCAGAGAGATTCAGGTTATATAGTATCTCACTTTCCTATGCTGTGTAACAAATGACCATGAACATGGCAGCTTAAGATGACATATGGATGATCTCAGTTTCCATGGCCCATAGTCAGCTCAGCCTTGCTGGCCCTGTGTGTGTGTGTGTGGGGGGGGTCTCATCTGGAGCCGAGATGAGGCATGTTGAAGTTTTTGGTGGAATTCAGTGCTTTGCCACTTTGGCCCTCAACTCCTGGAGGCCACCCCCTCCATGCACTTCACACATAGTTGTTTGCTTCAAGGCCAACAGGGGACTGTTTCTTCTCAGGAAAGGCTCAGTGCCTTTTTAAAAAAATGGCTTTCACCTGATTAAGCCAGGCCCACCAAAGATCATCTCCCTTTTGATGAACCCCAAATCGGTTGATTTGGGACCTTCATTACAGCTGCAGAATCTCTTTACTTTTGCCATAAAAGGTCACCTAATTATGGGCATGACATCCCCTTGTATTTACAGGTCTCCTGCACACTCTAGGGGAGGGGATTAAATAGGTGTGTATGGGAGGGGGAGGGGAGCAGCAGGGAAGCAGAGTAGGGGCCAGGAAGCTTGGAGGTGGCATTAGAATTCTGGCTACCATGCCCAGCTGGGGAGCGGCAGCCTCAGGAGTTAAACATAGATCTTCTGACTGTGGAGCTTGCACCTTTGACCCAGCTGAGGCAGAGGACGCGAGGGCTGAAATGTTGGCAGATGTCAGGAGGACCACACTGGGTAGAGCATGGGAAGTGTCCGGCACAGCGTCTGGTCCACAGGACAGGCTTGATCCTAGCAGTTCGCATCCCCAAAGGCCAAGACTGTGGCTGATCTGCTTCTCTGCCTCCATTGTCAGCAGTCCGAGGAGCAGCCTCCAGCAGAATCCTTGGAGCATCTAGTCGGAATCCTGCACCTGGCTGGAAGAGGGAGAAATGCCCTCCCACATGCCCACACCCCCAATGAACCCCTGGAGGAATAGAAGATAGATTTTCCCTTCTCACTCCCCATCTCTCAGTCCTGGTTCCCACCCCCCCTCGCCACAAAGAAAGTCCCTTCTCCCCCCATGAAGAAAGGCACAAAGTCAGGAATTGATGCTGCATCTTTTTTTTTTTTTTTTACTTTTGCCTTCTTAAAGCTTGTGCTGAGCTGATGGAAGAAGCAGTTTGGCAATTAAAAAGGCCCAGCGGCTTGGGCAGCGGCAGGAGGAGGCCGGGTGAGGGCCGGAGGAAGAGCAAAGCCCGCACTAACTTCATAAAATATAAAACAAGGGAGGGGTGAAGGGAGGATGGAGACTTGTAAAATACAATATTTTAGGGGATTGGCAATAATAAAAAATAAGGTTCATTATTTACAAACAATTTCTGTTCTTGGTCTCTGTACAGTGGGGTGGGGGGTGAGGGGGGTGTGTGTTGGTGTGTTGATGGGTGTGTATGTGGGGGGGGGCAGGGAGGCAGTGGTCCAGTCGGTCATTATGAGAAAGGAGGGGGTCAGCCCAGTGAGTGGTTTATTTGAGAAGGATGGATGGCTGTGGGAGGGAGCGGTGAGGACAGAGTGGTCCGCCCAAGGGAACAGTCCAAATGTGATGGGGAAAGGAGAGGCCCTGGTAGGGAGTGGGGCAAAGAAGGGCTGGGGAGAAGTGGAACACTTTCTCCTGGGGTGGGAGCCCAGGGGGCAGGGGGACAAGCTGGATCCGGGTTAGAGAGCAAGACCACCCCTCTTCTGGGTGCCAGAGGGGACGTCCTGTGTCCTGGGTCTTGATGCGCCTAGGAGAGTTTGATGGTGGTATTGGGGCCGAGATCCCTGGAGAGAGAACAGAAGTCTGGGGTGAGTCTGTCCATGGAGGACCTTCTCACCACTCTGCACGCTGGATCAGAATGCGGGTGGGATGGGGCCTTGGGGAGGCGTGGCTGAGATGGGGTCCAGCCCCCCCTCCGGCGGAGAATGGGTGGAGCCTGGGGCCCCGTTAGGGAAGGGGCCCCGCCCACCTACCTCTCACGGAACCACTCCTTGGGGTGAGAGAAGTCCGGGCTGGTGCCGTTTCCACCGATGTCTTTCGGCCAGGCCTCGCTCAGGTACTTGGTGGTCTCGTGGGTGCTGTCCAGGTGGTCATGCTGCAGGTGGTCCTGGGGCCGCTGCTCAGCTGGCCCCCCCGGCTTGATCTCCCAGCCGTCTGGGGGCTCCACGGGCAGCAGGGCGCTGCGGCCATCCTCCCACGAGCCTGCTCCCTCATCGTAGAACAGGAGGCTCCGGGAGGGCACTGGACAGAGAGCTGATGGTAAGCCTCTGGGCCGAGCCTCCCCACTCCCAGCCACATTCCTGGTCCAGCAGTGAAGTACGAGGGCCTGAGTCGGAACCCCAACTCTAACACTGCCCTTGGGTATGACCTCTGGGGCCTTAGGCTTTGCTTTAGCCTTTCTGAGCCTCAGTTTGCTCCTCCATAAAGTAGGCATACTAGGGTCGAGCTCGTGTAGATGTGGTTTGATGAGAGCGTTATGGACAAAGTGATTGAAACTGTTCAGTAAGCACTCTGAGAAAGTAGTTCTTCCCAAGCAGAGGGTACCAGGGTGGGGTATCTGAGAACTGGGTTCTAATCCTACTTCCACTACTCACTTCCTCTGAGACCTTGAATCAAAATCCTTCCATTTTTCTTTTTTTGGAGATTTTATTTTTTTTGAGAGCGAGCACAAGGTGGGTTCGGGCGGGGGATGTGGAGGAGCAAACTCCCCCCTGAGCAGGGAGTCCGAGTGGGGGGTGGTGAGAGGGGCCTAGGCAGAGGCTTAACCCCCAGAGCCACCCTGGCTCCCTCTTCCCTGTTCTAGGCCCTAGTGTGCCCTTCAGGAAAATGAAGGAAAAGGAAACAGTTTGTTGGATATCTACCCTGTGCTAGGCATTGTGCAAAGCCCTTTGACCTGTATATCAAATAACGAGCATCTCACAGAAACTTCTGGAAAGGGGATATTCTTAGGCCTGTTCCAGAGAACAGGTAACTGAGGTTCTAGCTTATCAGGTACTTTGGCCTACACTGGAAAGAAGAGGCAGACCCAGGGCTGCCTGCCTCCAGGATCTACTACCACCTTCCCGGCCCTCAGGCCCTGACCTAAGAGAGTATGTGAAGGACACTCCCTGCCATTGAGCAACGCGGCAGAGCTCCAGAAGCCACTTCTTACCACAGACACACACACAGGGCTTGCCACCCACTGCATTCTCTCCAGGGGGCTCATTCATTGCTTCCCTTCCTCGGACTCTCTTTGTTCATCCACACTGGCCCCACCCCCCACTTCCCTCCCTTCCTCTCCTCCTGCTTCCTCTACCTACAAACTCCAAATACCCCAGGGCGCCCCTGGCCTTGGAAAACGGATATGTGACTTTCTCGACTCTCACACCCCCAGGGCCCAGCTCCCTCTGCAACTGTCCTGTCTCCTCTCAGGCCACACTTGTCCAGGGAGTGGTTTTGGCTAGCCACATCCATTTCCTCTTCCCCTAACCCTCCCCACCCCTTCCTCCTTTCAAGGCCCCGATGGTCTAGCTCATTCTCCCTGCCTATTCCTCCTTCTTGAATCCTACTCCTCCCCGTCTCCTCCCTCTCTGACCCCCCCCCCATCTCTTTCCTCTTCCTCCTCCTGTCCTGCCTGATGATTCGTTTCTGGTAGACGATGAACCGTGAGAACATTCCTCTGTAGGTCTACCTGAAGCACCTTCTGTTTCTGGCAGTCCAGACTATTCTTTGCTGTCTCCTTGCCACCCACCTAGCGTACCTTTTCTTCCCCCCAGCAAGGTCTTCAAAAAGGGAGGGGGGATGCGCTCAATGAGTAAGCGCCTACTGTGTACCAGACCCTGTGCTAAGAGTGTGCGTTCCCTGTGCCATTTAGTTGTGACAACTGCCATGCTCGGGGAGTGCAGAACTGGGACTTCTGTTTTTCAGATGAAGACACAAAAACTTAGGGAGCTCAAGACATGTGCCCAAGGTCAAGAAGTTAGCAAGCGGCAATGGCAGACATGATGAACTTTGAGGCCCCATGCTCTTAATCACCATCGGTCCCTTGCGGGGAGATAACTACCTGAGCTCCCACCATGGCTGCCCCTCCTCTGCCCGTGCTTGACATCCTGGCATTCCTTAACACGATGCTTCAGCCACCACTGTCTGATCAAAAAGTGCCCTTGAACCCAAACTCAGGTGCTATCCCAGTCCTGAAATGCTAATTGTTCCTGGCAGATGCCCTTTAACCACTGGCACTATAATTCATGGGGGCCGGGGGGTGGGGGGAGTGGCAGTAGGGTGGGAACATTCCTGCTGTCCCCTAAACCTCCCCCCAACCCCTGCAGGCCACTCTTGGGTGGGCTGGGATCAGGGAGCCTGCAGTGTAGCCCCAGTTCTACAACTAACGTTGAATAAATCATGGACCCGTTGGGGGCCTCAGTTTCTCCATCTGCAAAACCAGGAGGTAGAATAAGATGTCGCCAACCCGGAACCCGCCCGGCTCCTGTCTTTTATCTGGCTGATGCTCAGACGTTGGGACTGATGGAAGATGGCCTGGCCGAGAGCACTCACTCTGACTAGCTGTGTAGACGCTGTCAGCAGCCACGGGGTCTTCCTTCACAGTCTGGGAGCTGGAGGAGAACTCAGGGAGGCAGGGCACAAGGGATCCCAGCACCAGAACGAAGCACAAGGCTGCCACCTGGTAGTGGAGAAAGTGGGGGTCAGAGCAGGTTGGGGGAGGGTGCAACGCCTGCCACCCCCAATTTTTTCCCCCAAAAACAATAGGTATAAAAAGCCTGGTATTTTTCTAAGAAAGCAGCACCCAGAGCCAACCACCTCCTAGATGTGCGGTCTTCTCCCCTTGTTGGAGAAGGTGGAGGAGGCTGCTCGGGCCATCTCAGCCCCTCAGGGGCCACCACAGGCAGTGTCAGAAAAAGAGGGAAGTGGTCAACATGGATATCACCTGTAAGGTGGGAGATCAGGACAGGGAGAAAGGAGTGAGGGGGGGCCTGGGTGGGGGACAAAGGAGGGGGACAGAGCATCACACCAGATTTGCAGCAGGACGAGGAAGAGTCACACATCTGGAACTAAGCCGGGCCCATGCGGTGTCTGACACCAGACAGCATGAGGATCTCAGAGGCCCCAGGGAGTGATCAACCGGGAGGTACCAGGCTGCACATTCCCAGGACAGCGTGCACGAGGAACCTGCAGATGCCTGAACCACACCCTGCACATTCTTTTGGGTTCCTAGAGATTTGCTCAGCCTTCTCCTCACTCACTATTCATTCCAGTAAGAAAGAACCAAATGTCTTCCAACCTTGTGTCTCCCTAAGCCCTTTCCTCCTTAGGGTATAGAAGCCGCCTCCTCAAGGGACTTGCCCTACCTCCTAACTGGGTTCATGTGCGTCGCTGCACATCCACATTGTGTTAGAACTGGTCAGGGAAGGTTATGTTCGAGAAGGCTCCATGCGCTTGGTGAAAGAGGCTGGGGTCTTCAAGAGCCGGCCCAGCAGGCACTAGGGTGGTGTATCCTGGTGGTGTTGCCCAACCCTCAGAGCTCTGCCTGCCTTCCTAGAAAGCCACCCTGGGGAACACTTGTCCTTGCGTGACCCTGTGGTGAGGGAATAGCACCTACCATGAGGCAGGTCCCGGTCTGGGTGGCGGCCATCTTGTAAGGTCTTGAGATCTTGTTGGTGACCAGAGTCTGGAGCTTCTGCAGCTGCTGGAGCAGGGTCCTGAGGAAGGCATTGTGGTGACCCAGGAGGCTCTGCACCAGCAGGCATCTCTGCCTCCTGGAACTTTCCCAGGGAGCCCCCGGGCTGGCCCCGCACTTGGCTTCCACACCAGGTACCCGTTTTGGTCAAGACAGAAAAGGTCACCTCCCGGTTGGCTCCTCTGTGGTGTGGCCTGGGGAACCTGGGGCCTATCTTGGGGTGAATTTGCTGGGTCACCCTATGGGAGCTCAGGGGTGCTCTGTGGTGCTCCTTGCCAAAGTGGGTTTGGAAGGTCTGCCCCACCTGGGCTGAGGTCACCTTTATCTTCACCTACACCAGTCACAGCTACATTGACCTTCCTTCCTTTGTACCCCACGACTGCCAGAACGGATAAGAAAGCCTTCCACGTCTGGCAGGTATCTAGTGTGTAGAGAGGGTCCAGTAAATAGTAGGTACCATTTTGGTTAATTTTGTCACTATTGCTTTTATCCCGGCACCTGTAGCACCTTATTTCTGTTCGTGGATTTCCATGTCAGTCTCCTTCACTAACTGTGGGCTCCCTGAGGGCTAGGACTGGGTCCCACCCAATGTAGAGCCCTCTGGGCACACAGAGGGGGTGCTCAGCCAGTGCCTGGTCAACTATAGTTTAACTTTCTTTCCTCCACCTAGCCGGCCAGTGGGGCTGCAGTTACCAGAATGTACAGCAGGTGGCGAAATAGCTCCAAGGGCCTGGCCCTATTTTGGGCCGAGAGAGGAATCTGGGCCAGAGGTAGAGGGGTGAGGGGTGTGGGCCCCCGTCCCCCTTCCCTGAGTGGGGGGCATTCTCCAGGTCAATTAGGGGGAGTGGCTGGATCCTGCCGGAGAAGCTGGGGGAGAAGGAAGGTAAGAAGGAGAAAGCCTCTGTTGAGCACTGGCTAAGTACCGGCTGTCGTCTCTTGTCATTTCAATTTACCCCAGCAAATAATTATTAGAGACCTACTGTGGGCTCATGGCGAAGCACTATCAAGAATTCAGAATAACCATAAAAAAAAAAAAAGAGGAGAAGAAAAGCTAACATGAATTGAGAATTCCTAAATGCCAAGCACAGTGCTGGGCCTTTTACCTGCACCGTGTCATTGAATCTTCCTAAGAATCCTGGGAGATAGAGCTTCTATCGTCCCCTTTTAGATAAAGCAACCGGGGACCAGAGAGCTTTAATGGTTTTTGCAGGATCACAAAAATGGCAGAGTGGGATTAAAAAACCCAGGCTGTGACTTTAGGTAGCTGCTACGTGCTGGGCCCTGTACTGAGGTTTCTCAAAGGGAACAGTGCGTGTGAATCATGGGAGGATCTTGGTGAAATGCATATTCTGATTCTGCAAGTTGGGGTTGGGGGTGGGGAGAGTTCCGAGATCCTGTGGTTCTTACAAGCCCCCGGGTGGTGCGGATGCTGCTTGTGGATGCTGCTTGTTGGTGAGAAGAGCTTGGAGTGGCAAGCACCCGTGCCAGGGGTTCTAACGTTAGGGCTCTAACATTAGGGTACGTCAACATCACCTGGAGGGCTTAGTAAAACACAGATTGCTGAGCCCTCCCCGGGAGTTCCTGATTCAGTAGGCCGGCTCCACGCCTGAAAATCAGCATTTCCAATGGTTCCCAGGCCTGGGGAATTCCGCTTTGAAGGCCACCGCCCTACACCAACTCATTTAAGCGGCTCACCTGCCCTGTCGGGTGTCTAGACCTATGCATGGATGAAGAAGGATGGGAAGCCAGGGGTTCCAAGCTGCAGTGTTCCATGTTTCTGGGGTTCCTGTCATCCTGAACTCAGCCATCTGGCCTGTCTCCTGCCTCCCAGAGCTATGCCAGAGCCGGGCCCTGCCTGGAGAAGGAGGGGGATCACGGACGATGCAGGGGGCACTACCTACCTGTTGGCATTCTCCAGGGTCTCTACCTTCTTCCACAGTTCGTTGTTCTCTGATGTAAATGTCTCCACCCTGAGGGGGCCAAGCAGCAGACACAAGCTCAGGGGCAGTCCCTAGGCTCACTGCTGCCCCCTCTGCACCGCCCACCCCTCCCTGAGCACCCCCCCATCCCCACTCCTGCTCTGGTGCCCTTGGAGTGAGCACTGGGGAGAGGGGCAGGTGGGGAGTGGGTCCCAGGCCCGCCACCCTGCTCAGAATGCTTACTTCTTTTCTAGACATTCCACGTACTCCTTCTTCTTACGGCGGCTCTCCTGGGCCGAGATCTAGAGGGGGAGGTGCCAAAACAGGGGTTACCACAGCCACATAGCCATTTCCGGGGGGCTCCCACAATTTTAGGGCTGTTATCACCAGGGGAGCAGCCCTGGGGCAGGGCCAGGGTCCAGCTCATGCCTTACCTTATTCTTGATTTTTCTCCGGACCCTCTTTAAGGCCTTTTCTTCGGCTTTGGTGAGGGGGAGTTTCGTGGGGATGGGGTAGCCCTCAGCAATCAGGGTGCGTTTCTCCTCCTCTGTCAGGAGCAGTGGCCCCGATGTCCCCTGTAGTTTCTGTGGGAAGTCAGACATGCTGGTTAGGAACCAGGCAGCCCTGGGTTCAAATCCAAGCTCTGCCATAGACTCTGCATGACTCAAGGAAGGCATTGACTCTCTCAGCCTCGGTTTCCTAATCTGAGATAGGGTGGACCTGGATTAAATCCGCTAACATGTAGCAACAGTGCTTGGAGCCCAGCATGTTAGGTACTCAGTATATTATCGCAGGGTGGGCGTGGGGGCCCCCCAGACCCCATCCTGGAATCCACAGCCTCAAAACTTACTTGTTTGGAGCTGCTAGACAGCACCCTTTTACCTGCACTATGAGCTTTGCTTGGGAGGCTCCACACAGGAGTCAGCTCCATGTTTCCCGGGGCAATTTTGGGTCTCCTGAGCACCACTCCCCAAGCAGTGCTCCTTGGAGCCGGCCTGAGCCATCCCCGGTAATGTGGAGTTCTAGTCCTGCCTCTAGTCCCTGCCACAGTGGGGATGCGGCAGCCTCTTGGACTTCTCTACCTGTTTCCTCTTTACCCCAGAGCCGGATGAAAAGATTCACACTCTCATCTGCCCGGCACACACCTCTCTGAATGCTTGTGGGAATGGGGACCATCAGGGTTGGAGGTCCTAGACCCTTCCTCGCTGCTCGCGTGCAGGTGGACTTACTCAATCCCTCGTCTCTAGGGCCAGCCCGCCCCCATCTGCTTACGTGAGGGGCGGTGAGAAGGGGGGAGGTGGAGATGGCTGTGGACGAGCGGGCCATGGGCCGGACGGGGCTGGAGGGGGGCAGAGAGCGGGGACTCTGGGAGCCGTCACTGTCGCTGCCGTGGCTGCTGGGGGGCGTCAGAGGCATCTGCACCAGGTCCTCTGGGGAGAGCAGGGGGAATCCAGGTTAGCAGGGTTGCAGCCCACCTCTGCTGGGACATCAGAGGTCGGCCAGGTCCCCCCGACACTGTGGGGGACGGAATACTGGGGCCTTGACCAGCTATCCCAGAAGCTCCTCTGCCATGTCAGAAAGTTAAGTTAACATCCCGGAAGTTCATTTCTGAATGCCAGCCCGTCTCCGACGCCACAGAAGCCTGGCTCCTTTAAGCCCGGTCCCTGGTGTGACTATCATGGAGGCCAGATTCTCGAAGTCCCTCCCCCTCCCTGACTTCACAGGGTCCAGGCCCTTGGGAGCCTCCACTGGTAACCCCAGAGGGGACTGGAGTTTGCCCACAGCCAGATCCATGGGGATTAGGCGGGGCAAGCAACAACCTCTGTCACTTCCTTTTTCCCACTGCCAAACATCAGCCACAGCAATCCCAGGGTTTCCACTTCCAACTTGAGCGTGACAGGACAGCAGGCACTGGGCTCTCAGCAGACCGGCCAGGAGCCCTATTGGCCCAAGCCTCCCCTCCCCACTGCTGCTCTGTGGCCATAGCATCAGGAAGACTGACACGCTGCAGATGGTCAGAGAAAGGCCTGGGTAGAGCCACAAGGACCGACAGCCCAAGTGCAGGGAGAGCTCCCAGGACAGCACAGAAAGCCCTGATCATTGCAGAGCCGGCTGAGGCTCTGGAGGAACAGCCGCATCCTTCCAGACTCTGCCTCGAGCTGCCCCCCTGGAGGAGTCCTCTCTCCCTCCCTGGACTTTCATTTGCCTCTTAAGAATGCCATAATGTAAAGAGCCTGGAATGTGGAGTCAGGGGGCCTGAGTTCAAGTTCTGCTGTCATGCGCCCCAGGTGTGTGACCTGTAGTCGTATTTATGAACCCCTCCCAGCCTCACTTCCCTGCTGGAAGGGAAAGAATGGACTGCAGGGAGCCGTGAGGACACAAAGAGCTCATGTCTGTGAAGATGCCTTATGGACTGAAGGGCGCTTTACAACATGACGTGTTTTCACGATGGCCCCTTCCTACCTTCTGTGAATCTTCTCTCCGAGGGAGTGAGCAATGGGAGGGTGAAGCTTGGGTCTTATTCATCTTTCTAAACCTTGTGCTACTCAGCCCAGAGCCTGATACACAGTACATACTCAATGAATGTTTGATGAATTAATGAGATAGGGTTGGAAATATTCGGTAAGCCTGTTCTTCTGGCCAGTTCAAGAAGCTTTCTCTGTTCCCTTCTCCCCTGTCAGATCTGGGGATGTGCCCCCACAGCCTCCTGGAAAATCTGCCATCTTTAACCCATATGTGTGCTATGAAGTTGGCCCTCACTACTCTGTGATCTACTTGGGCACAGGACCTGTCTTCTGTCTCTGCTTCCCTAGACATGCCCAACGAACTCTTTTGGATGGATGGATGGATGGATGAATGAATGGGTGGATGGATGGATGGATGGGTGGCCATAGAGTGGGCTTCCATTAGTGAATGACAGGAGGGGGGATTAGCTAACAGGGTGAGGGCGTCAATAACAGAGATGACAGTTGTAGACTAGGTAAAAAGGGAGCTGTATGGTTGGAAAGTGCACAGGGCAGGGAGGAAAGGATATTCTGGGGAGATATGGTAGCTGTTGAGGGAGATGGATGGGCTGGGCCAAAGGATGCTGTCTGCCCAAGACTGGAAAGAAAGAGTCCCTCTCTGGACACACTTACCCGGTGTCACTTTGAGGAACTGATTCACCTCCTGGGGCTCTGCTTTGATCACTGGCAGCTGAGTCATCTCTCCTGGGGCCTGAGGAAGAGACAGGTCCAGCTCCATCAGCTGCCCGTGGGGCTGTCCCCACCGTTCCGTTCAACCTCCCACCCTCCCTAGAGCTGGCGGTCTGCTCTGCACAATTAAGGAGGTGGATAGACCCAGAGTTCTGGGCACAGCCCAGACAGAGGAGAGGCAAGTTCTCAGGCTTCGAGAAGTCAAGTTAGACCTAAGAGAAGAGAATGATAGCTAAGTAGCTAGTGTAGTTTAGACCTAAGCTCGGAGAAGGAGGGCTTCTTGCGGCCTCCAAGGGCAAGGCCATCTCTTTAATGGAAGCTGCTCTTTGCTGACTCTGAAGGTCACAGGCCTGGCACATTGTTGCTGTTCAGTGAATGGCAACAGTAGCACCGATGAAGAAGGCCTGAACTGGCTGGGGGCGCGGGGTGAGCTCTCTAAGCGGGGTGAGCTCTCTAGGCAGCTGAACCTTGAAGTATAAACAGGAACGTTCCAGATAAAGGACAAGGCAGGTGGTAAGTGAAATGAAAGGAATTCCCAACTGCAAAGGTCCAAGGGGCTAGAGAGCATGGCTGGCTCTGGAATCTGCAGGTATTTGGGGTGTCCAGAGTGTAGGGGTGTGCCAGGAGGGAGTGGTAGGAAACAAGACCGGAAGGCCTGGCCGGGGGGGGTGGGGGTTGGGGTGATGGTAGGATTCACAGAAGGTAGAAAGGGACCGGGCAAAGAAGTCTGAAACAATAAGGAGTCCCTGATGGGGTGTATCGCAAGGGACTGACAGAACTAGATTTATGTTTTAAACAAACAAGTACTGCTATTTCTTTATGTTCCAACTTGCTGTTCCAGAAAGGGCATCAAGAACATGAATGACCTACTAGGTATTTACCCCAAGGATACAGATGTAGTGATCTGAAGGGGCATGTGCACCCCAATGTTTATAGCAGCCATGTCCACAATAGCCAAACTATGGAAAGAGCCTAGATGTCCATTGATAGATGAATGGATAAAGAAGATGTGATATATATGTGTGTGTGTATATATACACACACACATATACATACATACCATGGAGTATTACTCAGCTATAAAAAAAGAAATCTTGCCATTTGCAATGACATGGATAGAATTAGAAGGAATTATGCTATGCAAATAAGTTAATCAGAGGAAAACAATTATCATAGGATTTCACTCATATGCAGTATTTAAGAAAGAAAACAGGAGCATAGGGAAAGGGAGGAAAAAATAAAACAAGATGAAATCGGAGAGGGAGACAAACCACGGGAGACTCTTAAACATTGGAAACAAATTGAGGGCTGGTGGAGGGGAGGGGGTGATGGGATGGGGTCACTGGGTGATGGACATTAAGAAGGGCATGTGATGTAGTGACCACTGGGTGTTACATGCAACTGATGATCACCGACCTCTACCTCTGGTGCTAATAATACATTATGTGTTAATTAATTGAATTTAAAAAAAGAACATGCTTGGCTTCCTACACACGATTCTCAATATGCATCTAACTGGTTTTCTCTTTGTGGAAGGCACCATGTTTCTGGGTGCTGGATTTCAGGACTGAGTCTCTTTTGGGTCCACAGCCAGCAGAGAGAGGCCATGACACTGTGGGTGGGACACAGAGCCTCCAATGTAGGCAGATGAGTAAGAATCACAGAAAGTTCAAGTTGGCAGGGACCTTGGAGAGTCTCTGGTCTACATCCCAGCTCAGCCCTCAGGGGACAGAGAAGGCACTGTGATGCAGGAGGGTGGGTCATGCAGCCTATTACCGACAATGCCAGCTTCTGGTTCCTGGACCTTCCACAAGGGCATCGTGCTCTTACTAGAGTGGAAAGTGTGGGCTTCTGAGACTTGGAGGCCAATTTTGGAATGCGGTTCATTATTTCCGCGTGTGGGATTTTTGTTTTTGTTTTTTTAGAGAGAGGGGGAGAGAGGTGGAGAGGGATAGAGAGTGAGAGAGAGAGAGAGAGAGAGAGAGAGGCTCTTAAGCAGGTTTGATCTCACGACCTGGAAATCATGACCTGAGCAGAAACCAAGAGTGGGATGCTTAACTAACTGAGCCACCCAGGCGCCCTGCAGCTCATTATTTCTCACTGTGTGATTCTGGGCAAGTCGCTTAGCTCCTTGAGCCTCAGTTTCCCTCTCTGAGGCACGTGCCCAGCCTCCCGAGACTGGCTCTTGCTGCTGTGCTGCTTCTGCTGCACCTTCCGTTCCTGCTTTGGCAAGGCCTGAGGAGTCGCTGAGCCATCTTGGAGATGGTCACAAAAGATTTTCCGTCTTTGCAAGGGGCCCTTGGTCCTCTGGGTCAGTGGGGGCGGGTGGGTAGGAAGGGGCTAATCTTGGCCTTGGGCCACATACATTTTGATCGGGTGAGACATGTGGCCAGCAGGGGGCAGAGCCAGTCAAACCCAAAATGTAGGGATTTCAAGCAGGCCCTTACATTGTAGACTCAGGGCTTGGAGCCCCTTAGAGGCAGTTCATGCTCCCATTTTATAGATCAGAAAGCTGAGGAAGAAAGAGAAGGGCGACATGCCCAGAGCACAAATGAGAGCTGAGCTGGGACCCAGGCAGGGCCCAGAGTCTGGGGCTCGCATTCCCAGGAGGCTCTTCAGATGTTCATGTTGGATCTAGAGTTGAATGCATATCATGGGGGGGTGGTGGGGGGAGGGGTGGCCTGAGTGTATGAGGTAAAAAATATTGACCTCACAAACATATACAACTGAAATACAGCGCAACTGTTGTATTCTCATTTTGGTCTTTTTAAAAATCCCAACACTTTGAGGGAGCTGTCTGACCTGGCCTTTCTCCATCCCTGAGGACCTGGACCTCAGGCCAGGGCTTTCTCCATCCCTGAGGCCCCTGGTGCTCAGGCCAGGGCTTTCTCCATCCCTGAGGCCCCTGGTGCTCAGCCCTGCCCAGGTCCCTGTCAGCTGCCTTCTGCACACAGCGAGGGGCCCCAGCTTCCTCCAAGGGTGCTACAGCTTGTTCCCATTCTAGGACAGGGAAGGGGCAGCCCAAGGGGGTCGGCATAGGCCTGGTGCATGAGTTCTGACCCTCAGCCCCAGGATCACGTTGCTCCCAGTTCACACAGCCCCAGGCTACGCAAGGCTTCCGAGGCCTCTTCCCACAGAGGCCCACCCCTACCCCCAACCCCAGCATCCCTCCCTCAGCCCCTGGGAACAGTCCTCAGGCTCACCTGGTGGGGGATGGGCAGCCTGGACAGGGGGCTGAGGCCCAGCAGCGGGGGGGCGGCCATGGCTGCAGCAGCGGCCATGGCCGAGGAGGCAGCCAGAGGGTCCACGGGCAGCTCCGGGCTCTGCTCCTGCTTCACCATGACGGAGCACAGTTTGTGTCCCAGCACCCATGCTCCATGTTCCACGTCTGGGGAAGGGGGCAGGACCAGGCTCAGGGGACTCCCCAAGCAGAGGGCTCTGCTGCCCTCCTCCCCCTAGGAGCTGCTCTAGACTGGGCTGAGGAGAGAGACTAGGGTACAGGCAGGCAAGGGCAGAGTGGGGCACTTGTGAAGCAGGCTGGGGCCAGAAAGGTGGGGGGGTGGGCATCTACTTTACTCAGCAGTTCACGGAGCAGGCATGGACAACAGATCTGGACCCCTCTTGACTGGCTGTGTGACCTTAGGTAAGTTGCTTAACCTCTCTGAGCCTTAGCTTCTCCATCTGTAGATGTGCCCGGCAAGAAGGAAATGCTCAGTAAATGCTAGCTATTGTTAATAGAATGATTGCTGTTCAGTGAACATTTGCTGAGCACTGTGCTAGGCTTTTGGGACCTTGTGAGAGTCGCAAGCAGTTTAGAGCAGCTGCAATGCAAAGGGAAGAGGAAGGTGGGCCCACAGAGGCCAGCAGGGGTAGTGCAGCCTTGGAGGCTGGGCTCATAGCTGTGACTTTGTCCTTAAGGTAATGGGGAAGCAACAAAGGGTTTTAAGCATGCTCAGATTTGTAATGTCAAAAAAAATCATGCTGTGTGCGTATGGAGAAGGGCCTGACTGCAGGCAAGATGGAGGCAAAGAGACTCGCAGGAGGCTGGTGACATAGTCCAGCAAAGAAGATGAAGCCTGAGCAAAGGAAGGGACAGTGGGATGGAGGGGAAGGGACATACTGGAGACAAGTTTAGGGAGAATCCACAGGACCTGGCGACGGGCTTGAGGGGGTGGTGAGGAGGTAGGGGTAGGGAGGGCACATGGGTGGTGAGGTGTGATGTGCAGGTTTCCTAGGGGATGTCCACTTCCTGCCCTCTTAGTGGAGCTCCTGGCCTCACCTGGGCCACAGGGCTGGCAGGTATCACCCCTTTTCCTGAGTAGTGCCTACAGTCCTGCACTCCAAGTCAGCCCTGTGAGCCCCCAGCAGTGGTGAGATGAGGTGGGGGTCCGGGGATGCAAGGGAGCCGGGATGCAAGGGAAGGACCAGGGTGTTCTGGCCTTTGGGGCCTGCTGTGGGTAGAGAGAGGGGGTCAGTGGTGCCCAGTCCCACCTCAGAGACGAGGCCCCACCCTGCTGGGAGCCTGAGTGCCCCAGCTCTGGGCCACAGCCTGCCTCAGGGCTCCAGGAACACCCACAATCTTCCTAAATTACAGGGCCAGCTGTCCGGTCTCCGGGAAGCTACCCCTGCAAAGGGCCCACAGACAAATTGCTCTAAAAATAGACTTGGGGTGGCCAGCCTGGGCCGGCCTAGTGGGGGTGGATGGAGAACCTGCCATGGGAGGAGGTCCACCCCACACGCTGCCCCTCCCCTGGGTGGGGCCTGAGGACCTGCTGATGCGATTTCCAGAAGCTTCCCCGAGAGGCCAGGGCATGCAGGGATGCTAAGACCTCTGCAGCCCCAGCCCTGAAGCCATCTGAACCCCAGGCGGTGTCCCTGCCCCCACAGAGTTGAGCAGGGTGGGGATGCAGAGTCCCATCTCTGCCCCGGGGGGGGATCTCAAAGACCCTCAGAAGCAGCACACACTTCTTGAGCTGAGTGAGGCTCTCAGGCCTCACTACTTCTGAAGTCTTTTATTCCTCCCAATATTCCTATGTGGCAGGCATTATTATTCTTCCCATTTTATAGATGAGAATATTAAGAAACTCATTCGAGACCACTGTCCTCAGAAGAGAAAGCGGAATTAAAAACACTGGTCCCTGTGCCAGCCGCTGAAGTATTAACAAGACTTTAACACTCACAGTGAAAATAGCCACTAATTCTTTTTATATATTATGTGCTGGGCACTCAACTGGGTATTTTATGTATAGATTTAAAAATCTTGGCCAGAATTCCTATGACACATTTATTATCTTCATTTTATAACTGAGGAAACAGGCCCAGGGAGATAAAGCAACTTGCTCAAGATCACACGGCAGCTGGGAGAAGAAGCATGCGAACGCACAGCGAAGCCGGATTGGTCCGCACCCTGTACCCTGCGCACGGGCCCTCAAGGCTGGACAAGGGTGGGGGGCTTGCTTGCTCCCATGTCCCTACCAAGCATTTTACTGTGTGTGTGAACACGGTAAACCTCTCCTGAAGAACTTTCTTGAAGCCTCATTTTTCTGAGGGGGTGGGAGGAAGCTTTCAAGGGAGCAGAGAAGCAGGCTGAGATGCCCAGGGGCTTCCCGGAGGAGTCACCCACAAACACCTCTCAGAGGAGTGCGGCCCCCTGCCTTTTTGTTCTCTCTCATGTCAAACCCTCCTGGGGGTCCTGGGGTCTGGGTTGTCCCTGGGTCCTGCTACCCTTTCTTACCTTGGGTGGTGTCCTCCATCTTGATGGGCACGAGGGGGCTCTGAGGCGCCGAGTCACCGCTCAGGGAGTAGCTGTGCTCAGCCTGGATGCCTGGGGTGGGGGAGTCCAGTTCCATGTCCAGTAGAGGGCTTTTCTCGTCCAGCACGGGATCATCAAAGAAACTGCTGAACAGGTCGTTAGAGAAGTCCTCCATGTTTTCCGCAAAGTGGTCCAGGTGCTCCGGGAAGTGCTGGGGAAGGAGGAGGGGGAGGGGGCAGTCAGCTTTGCTTGGAAAAGGGGCGCACAAGCTGTTGTAGTGGGGCTCCCAAACCGGCCACCACTGCCACTGTCACTGCAACCTCCCCATTATTCTTCCTGCCATCAGTAACGCCACCACCCTCCCCACTACCCATGTACCCAGGACCAAATATTATGGGTTCTGTCATGACCATCACCGCTGTCACCACTACCTCTCACTCCACCCCCACACGCCCCCCCCCCCCCCCCCGTTTGCCATCTCCAGCCTCACTGTCATTATCCTTAACGGGAGGGCGCAGTAGCATCTCTGGACCAGGTGACAGGATACCAGGCTCTTGGTTCTGGCTCCAGGACCTTGGTTCAGTCGCTCAGACTGATTCTCCATCCACCCTACTTCATGGGAAGACTAAATAAAGAGGGTGTGTCTACACCAGCAAGTCTGCATCCTAGAGACGCGTTGGTGACTTTGGTATCTTTCGCTGGAGTGAAAGGTGGGGGATTATCAAGGCTTCTCCTCCCCTCATTAGCACAGTCTGCACCTGTCCTTGCGCCTCCAGACTCTGCTCTTCCAGACGTACTTTATGCCAGGAGATTAGGCTTCAAAGCCATGTTACATGGGTTCGAATCCTGGCCTTGATACTTGTAGCTATGACTCAGTGTTGATGAAACTGTGGCTCAGGGACTCCTGAACGGGTTGTGAAATCAATCTAGTAGGTCACAACCAGGATTTAAGAAAAAATAAAACAGGAAGAAGAGTAGAAAATACCAGACTGCCTTCATGTAGGGAGCTAAAATATCTGGTGAGGTTCTTGTCCCAGTTGTGTGTGTGTGTGTGTGTGTGTGTGTGTGTGTGTGTACTCAGTAATGAAGTAAAATACATTTCTTAGAAACAAAAAAGGTTGAAAAATATTCGTCTCTGAGATCTTGGGAAAGTTAATTAACGTCTCTTTGCTTCATTTCTTCTTTCGTATGGTGAGGATGATAACAGATTCTGTCAGGATTGTTGTGACGATGGTCCTGGGTACATAATAAATACTCAACAAACACTGCCTCTTATTATTAATAAAACACCCTGTGCCTGGTATGTAGTAGGTGCTTATTTTTTTTTCTCTCTTAAAGTATTATAAACATGTAAGGAAACACTACTGCTGTTCCTTATTTACTGACTGAGTACATTTGCTGGTGGGGTGGAAGAGGCGGTGGGACCGGGGGATTGCTTCAGGTCCTGGAGTCCAGCCTGGTGAGGGGTTAATGACTGGCTTCTGGGGGGGGGGGTGGCTCGAGGTCTGGATCTGTTGGCCCTTTCTGGCATGGAATACTCAAAGCCTGCCCCAGTCCTGAAGGGGTGAACAGAGAAGCCCTCTGAGAATAAGCTTGAGAATATTTCACTTCTCTGTGCCTCAGTTTCCCTATCTGCAAAGGGGAAATAATAGTGCCTACATCATAGTGTTGTCATGAAGAGCAAATATTTGTGAGGTGCTTAATATTCACCTTATAGGATTATGAGGGTAAAATGAGTAAAGTATGTATACCCCTTACACACAGAACACACACACATTAATGCACGTAGCAGAATGGTGCCTAGTGTGTAGTGAGTACTCAGTGGCTGGTAGCCATTATTAGTATGAAAATAGCAGCTGCCAAAAGCCAGTCTGAGCCTGAGTTGAGCTGAAGAATGATCAAAGAATCAAGGACAAAATAAATGCAGAAACCCATCAACGCAGGTTCTCTCCTCCCAGTTTGCCAGGACTTCTCATCTACTCTCCATTTTTACCGTGATTTTAACCTTCCAAAGTGCTTTCATATGCATGATTTTAGTTAATCCTCATAATCACCCAATGGGATAAGGAAGTTGCATATCTGCATTTGACAGAGAGGGAAACTGAGGCCCAGGGAAGCCAAGTACAACAGGAAGTGTCCATAACCCCTCATTGTCCAGTCCTTCCCCAACTGTAGCAGACATTGCTCTGTTCACAAATTGCTTGTTTGCCGGTCTGAAAATTCCCTGAGACGGAGTCTGTATCTCATTCACCTGCTGGATCCCAGCACCTGGCCTGTGGTAACTGCTGGTGGAGGGACATGGCCTTGAACCCCAGAAGGCAATGCCATCAGTATGTCAATTGATCATCAGCGCCTGGGGTGAGGCAGTACGAGGAGATACTAGTACTAAACACATCTCTAAGAATAACTGATCCGGCACTAAGGCCATTTACAAGGTACCCACCCCCACAGCCCGCCCCAGGACTGTGACTATGCGAGCTAGACCCTCTGCAGGACTGGGCCAGCCCAGCTGGGGGCGCTTTGCCCCTGCCCTTTCTCTCCGGGTCTCTCAGAGGCACAGTGTGGGGCCCAGTGGGAGGGGGTGGTGAGGAAGGGAGGGCAGTGAGTCAGCCGCTAAGGTATTCCTCCAGCAGCTGCTTCTCAGGCGATAAGGGTTTGCCAAGCCTTTTCCTGGGGCCTGGGAGAGGAGAAATGCTTCCTCCAGTCTGGGCTGGGGGTCCCTGAAGGCCTTAACTCCAGGCAGATGAAATAGGCCCTTCTCAGAGACCCCTTTTGCCCACAGATCCTGCCCAGGGAGCTCAGCTGGCTCCTTTTTGTGAGCAGCCCCCCACCTGCTGGAAACAGCGGCCAAGGCCCAGCAGAATGGAGCTTCCAGAGGGTGGGAGCCAAGTATAAGGGGAGGGCGGCCAAGGGGCAGACAGGGTGTGGGGGGGAGGGGGAGGACATTCAGAAAACACGGTCCTCTTTGCTCAGGGCTTCCTTGTGTGCTGGTCAGACCATCGGTGGTCATGGTGGGCATGTCTCATTACCTCCAGGCCAATCTCCTACTCAAGGGAACATACCAGAAGGGACTCCCTTCGGAGAGCTTTGTAGCCTTATTTCTACCTGGTGCCTGACTTCTCAAAGCAGCCCAGTTATGGCTGGTTTGTATCATCACATTAGAGACAGAAGGTACCAGAGAAAGCCGACCGTCCTCACTCCCCACTCCCAACCCATTTCCTAATGAAGAAACTGAGGTCCAGAGAGGGAAAGCCACCTACCCAGGGTGATACAGTGAGTTGGTCATGGTGAGGGAGGGGTTCTCTGCAGCTCCAAGGCTGCACGGGAATGGGAATCACCTTCTCCTTGTCCTCTCACTTCTTCCACGGTACCCACCCTTCCCCAACCTTGGAAAGCCCACTCCGGGGATCTCGGGCCTCCTCAGTTCCAGCATGCCCGCGTTTCCCCTAAACCCCCAACCACACCCAGCGCTACCTCCAGTTCGCACGCTAAAAGCTGAGATTTTTTCAAGACTATCTGAAGGAAATTATTCGGGGTTGGGGGAGAGGGGGGTGTTAAATCTGTAAATGGCAAGGGTTCGTGGGTCAACGTTCAGAGGGGCATAGGGTTCTATGGGGGTGGTGAGCGTTCTGGGTTGCCTTGCCAGGCAACCGGGATGGGAAGCCAGAGAAGGAAATATTATGATTTGTTTCCCTCCTCGTTAAAGACTTTTTCCTACAGTCCTGCCAATATAAGCTCCTTCTCGGAGGCCACGCGCAGTTAGCCCCGGCTTCCCTCTCTCTGTCGGAGAGGTCTCAGACTGTCCTGCTTGCATCCCCGCGTACACCACTCCCGGCGACACCCGCAGCCATAGCCGGGTCTCAGCCGCCTGCCCTTTGAATGTAAAGAAGCACAGGGTCCCGCCAGTCACAAGTCGCCCGCCAGAGGTTAACGCCCGCGCGCTGTGGGACCGCCCCGCGCCGGACTCCGGCCTGCTCATTGGTGGGGCCCGCGGAGCTCCTGGCCAATGGGAGGAGGCTGCGGGCAGCCGGCAGCGGAGAGAGAGCGAAGTAGGCTTCCGCGCTTCGCAGACCGCCGGGGCGTGGGAAGGGCCGGGAGCGCCAGGTCCGACCGCGCGTGATTCTCTGCGCTTGGGGCAGAGGCACTGACGGCCCTGCGAGCTTCAGGAGGCCGGCAGCGCCGCGCAGTCCCAAGACCCTTATGAGTTGCACGGCCCCCCAGCAGGCGGGGGGAAGTAAGAGAGGGAGGGTCTTGCCGGACGTCCCCGGCTCGCAGGGGAGGCCGAGCCGCAATTCTTAAGTCCCTTCACGGCTCTTCCAGCTCAGCTCCCTTCGTCCCTCTTCGAGCAGCCCTACCACAGGGCACAGGGACGGGGGGCGGGTCCTTGGCCTTGCGGGGAGTGGGAAAGCTCTTGGGGCGGTAACAGGACCATCTGTAGCTCCTCTCAGTTCCCCTGCTGTAATTGCTTCACTGGGGTCAAGGCAGAGAGGGGAAAGCCCCGAGAGTCCAGAGGTCTGCCCAGACGGTGTGTGGGAGAAGGTTCTTCCCCCATCCTGGGGCAGCCTCAGAGCGCCCCCTTCCCTCCGCCCCTAGCCCTACGGCTCATGCACCCGGGTTCCTGACTTCTGCCTCTCCCCTCGGCCGCGCTGTTTCAGCCCGTGCTTGGGGGAAGGAGGGAGGAGACCAGAGTGGGTCCAGCCTGAGCTGTGGGATAAGGAGTGGGGGGGAATCCCGAGCCCGGACATTCCTTCGGAGAGTTAGCTCTGGGGAGAGATGGGAGGAGAGTCCTCTCATATTTCCCCCTTCCCTCCCACGCAGGCACCCCCCCCCCACACACACACCATACTGACCCATACATTCCGGGACGGTTACTTGCCTCGTGGTCACTAGAAAATCGACCCCATTTCAAGCTGAAGGGCCACCAGTCTGAGTCAGTGATGTGCCCTGAATGTGTGTGTGTGGTGGGGAGCGGGGTAGGCTCAAGAAAGACCAGGGAAGGACTTAGGGGAGAGAAGGTGGGCCCCTGGGTATCTGGTTGTCAGGCCCTTCCTGTCCTTAAGCATCACCATCCGGGCATTTGGGGACCCCTTCCCAGAGCCAGAATCAAAGGTCCTCCCGTGAGGGGGAAAAGGCCCTGGACCCAGACTTGGGAGTCCCCAGTTCAAGATCCAGCTGTGCTCCGGGGCAGACCTGGGGCAGGTGGTATCTCCTTGCTAGGCCTCAGTTTCCCCCATGGGTTATACACTGTGTTCCTACTGAGGCAGGGGTGGTAGACGGGAAAAGGGTGAAGCAAACAAGTCTTCAGAGAATGGGCTCTTTTCCTCTGTCCTGGCCTCCCTGGGGACTGGGAAGGGATGGAGCCAGTTCTCCAGTCCCTGGAGCTGGTCCCTGAGTCTTCCTGGCAAGGGCATGGGGGTTAAGGAGGGGGACACATTGTTCCAACCTCCAACCTCACTCTCATCCCCCACTCCCCACAGGCCCAGGGAAGGCGGCTGCTGAGGTTTCATATTTTCCCCCCACCGAACTATTCACCACAGAGCCCAAGTCCAAGTAAGCAGAAAAGCTTCTCTGTGTGTGTATGTGTGTGCATACATGTGCGTGTGCTCTACAGACGTGGGCTGTGAGGTTCCTTCTTACACGGGGAAACACCACTTTTCTGATACCACACAATGGAAGATCCACATCCTTGGACACATCCCACATCCAGCCTGGCATACGCATGCTCAGGGGTTCCCCTAGGCTGACACCGGCAGGCACCAAACAGCCCCATCAAGGACACACTCCCCAGGGGTGATCAGACGGACACACATTCTCCTGTATACATGCACATGCGCGCAGCCACCCCAGAGATGGTCAGGCACGGCCCCGCACCCTCTCACTTGAACACACACACCATGTCACACCACCACAGAACTAGAGGCTGACTGCGCCAACCCACACGCCTGAGTCATATGACCCCCAGCGAGGCAGCATTGGGAGTCCCAGGCTCGCCTGGGGCTGGGACAGTGAGGGCTGGGACTGGAGGAAGGGATGACACAGGGATTGAGCCTTTCCGTGCTTGTGCTGGAGAGAGGAAGGGAGAGAGGAGGGCAGGCGCAGGGTGGCACCCACCATGGGCTGCTTCTCCCGCACACAGCAGGGTCTGGGGAGGGCATGGTGTTCTCATTCTCCCCTGTAGCCCCCAGCCCTGCTGGTGTGGCTCTCTGCTCCCCTCCCCTGACACTGGTAACCCTTCCCTGGCCAGGCACAGGCCCCTCAGGAAAGCAGAGAGAGCTGGCCTGCAGGTTCCTGGCCAGCCCCTGGCACCTTTCAACCAGGCGGCCCATGTGCTGTGGCCCAGCCCTGGGGTTAGTGCCAGGTACTGTCTGGGCAGGAGGAAGCGGTGGCAGCAAGTGCCGCCGCCCAGGGCTGGGATTAGCTGTGACTGGCACCACTGAGGGCACAGCAGCCCACGGTCTGGCTGCTGGAGATGTTGGTCCATACACGGTGGCCAGAGGATCCCTGTGGAACAGCTCAGGACACTGGAGACTCAGTGCCAGTGCTGGCACTGGGGGCCTCTGGAGAATAAGGACATCTAATCACATCCATTTATTCATGACTTATATATTCCTTCAGGATTTACTAAGCACCTACTATGTGCCCAGGCCTGTGGATATACAGATGAACAAAGTCCAGCTCCTGCTCACAAAAGGCTTTCTGACTAGCAGTATGAATACACCCCACTGAGGAAGGTTAAGTCTAAGGCTTGAACTCTGATCAGTCTCCAGAACATTCTCTACCTTCCATTAAGAGGTATCTCCTAACACAATATGACTACGTGACTCTCCTCCTCGGTATCTATCGATGGCTCCTTACTGCCTTTAGGATAGTTTCCTAGTGTCTTAGTATAGCTTGAGATGATCCAGCCACATCGCCTCGATGTCTGCTGTGGCCAGTTCTCGTGTGTATCTCCGAAGCCCAGTGCTGGTCCCAGCACATGCTAGGTGCTCAGCTGTTTGCTGAGTGACTACCTGATGGACTGAACGAATGGGTGAATGAAGGCATGTGCCAGTGAGTTAATGGACTGAGGTCTTTCTTCTGCAGCTGAGCCTCCAAGAATGACTGACCTGAATTCTGCTTCCATGCCAGCTTACTCCCCGCTGCAGGCAGAGTTTCCATGCTCCTGGCCTCCTTCCCTCAGCTCCTCCCTAGTGGGGCCTGTGGTACCCAGGTGGTTCTTTCCCAAGGCCCTATTGTTCTTAAGCCCCAGACAGACCAGTTCTCAGGGACCAGAGTCCCCTATTTGGTGCTGCAGGAGCTGCCCTCAGGGTTTGACTAGGCCCAAGAGTGTCAACAGAGCCCCGTGGCCACCCAGCCAAGCTGCTCTCCCGGCCCCTGGCCAGCTGGAAGGCCCTTCTCAGTTGGAGCCTGCCACCCGGCTCTGGCTGGAATTCCCTTGGCCTCTTCCTTCTCTCCAGTGCGCTCAGCGTTCGGCCCCTGGCTTCCTCAGCTGTCCCGGCCTGTCTGAGTTGTCCTCAGGTTTTATTTTTGGAAGACGCTGCATTCTCTCTCCTTATTTACTCCTTGCCTTCAGGGAAGGTGCGGGACCCCTGGGTTCGGCTGGGGATCAGGCTGTGTCTCCAGCCTTAAGGGTTTGGGCCTCTCTGGGACTCCAAGGGAGGGGACCTCCAAAGACTCCTGACCCATCAGATGCTTCAAAGCCAGCTGCCTCTGTTCTCCTTCCCCCACCCAGTGTGTGACTAATGCCTGCCCCTGCCCTTCTTGAAGAGCCCCACGATCGCCAAAAAAAATCATCACCATTTTTGAGCTAAAAAGAATTCTGGCATCGTTAGGTCCGTCCCCTCTTATTCACAGAGGCAGTGGAGTTCAATGGTTAAGAGCAAGGGAGGCGGACCGACCCAGTTCTAATTCTGGCTATTACTTACTGTGTAGCCTTGGGCAACTTTCTTAACCTCTCTGGGCCCCAGTCCCAGCTCTAAACTAGGAGTACTGATCTCTAACTACTAGGGTGCCACGAGGCTTCAATAAATGATGACATTTGTAAAGTTTGGGACACAATGCAGGATGTGTGGAAGGGTCTCACTGACATGGAGCTGTTGTTGTTGTTGTTATTATTATTATTATTACAGAGAGAAGAACAGAGAGCCAAGGAAGGACAGTGGAGTTGCTCAGCATCACACAGCTTGAGGTAAGCAGCCATTTCCAGAGCCTTTCCTCTGTATCTCCCTTCCAAGGAGAAGAGACGGGCTGGCGTCAGCCTCCGAGAGGAATCTCCTGGAGTCCGTTGCACAGGCAAACCCCTGGGCCTTTGGTGTGGGCCTCCTACCGCCATGCCCAGGCCCTCCTCTGGGGCAGGCGTTTCCTCCGGGGCCTCAGCAGCCTCATTCTTGCTCAATGAGGGTGAGGGGTCTGGGGAGGAGACCCCAACACTCAGCCCCTAGGTGGACCCCAGGCCAGTGGGACTCAGAGAGGAGGGGGAGTGCTGGGTCCTGACATCACAGAGCAAAGAAGCTGGAGCCACAGCCATGCGGGCCAGCTGGGGCCCTTCCAGCGCGTCCAGATGTCTCAGGAATGTGCTGAGCTGGGAACTACCTCGTTCCTTCCCTCACCACCCCCAACCCCTCATCCCCTCAAAGGCTTTGCTCAAGCTCTGTCTCGGCCCCACCCCCTCTACCCTCTCTCTTTCATCTCTCTCCGGGAGGGCCTCCTGTCCGTGGTCCCTCTGGTGCCTTGCCACAGTCTAGCTCCCTCTCAGACCTCTGAAGAGGTCACGGAAGGCAGGAGCCCTTCCCCTTCTGCAGACCCCATGGGCTGACCATGTGGGGTGGGGGGAGATGGGAGCCTGAGCTAACTGGGAGGGGAAAGTTCTGAGCAGATAGTGCATGCCAGATCCCAAATGTGGAACTGATTTGCAGCTCTGGGAGAGGAAGGGGTGAAGGCCGTGGGGCAGCAGAGGGCAGGGCTGGGCCTCTTCTCTGGGAGGATGATGAAAGGGGCTCTGGGCATCTTGTCTTAGCTGATGGGTGGGAGGGCCAAGGAGGTGAGGGTGCCAGACTGGGATGGCCTCAGAAGGAGGGCTCAGATCCTTCTAGAGCCCCAGCGCCCTACATGTCCCTGTAGGGCTGAGAGTGGAGGGTCCTGAGCTGTTGCCTGAGATTGGAGGGTCCTGAGCTGTTGGAGGGGTGGGGGAACCCTTTAGGGCTCTGGGGTCGGGCCAGGAGGAAGGACATGGTTCAGGCTGGAGCTCTCGGCCCTGTAGCGCGAAGCCTGTTTCCTTGCAAGGGTGGAGTTGCCTTGGGCCTCTCCAGGTCAGCCTGGCCCAAGGGCTGCAGATGAAAGAGCCTGATGAGAACTGGTACTCTGGCCCAGTGTGAGAGTCACATCAGGGCACAGGGTGGAAGTCAGAGAAGAGAAGGGACCTGGGCTCAGCTACAGCCTCAGGCTGCTCCAGACTCCAAACACAATCCTCTCTCCCTTTGGTGAGGGTCCCTCAGTATCCAGACAGGCTGACAGAGGATTCTTAATGGACCCTAGACCTCCTAGCACTGAGACAGTTCAGAGTCACTGCGACTACCACTTTGTCCAGCTCAGAACTATCTTTGGCTCCCTCCTCCCTACTGAAAAACTCCTATCTCTTAAGCATGGCATTGAAGCTGTTATTCATGTGTCTCAACTCAGCACTGTAGTTGGGGACCCTCGTCCTTTGCTTCCCTCCATCCCAGTTGGATGACCACTCCCAGCTCCTTGAAACTGCTTTGAGCTTCAGTGCCTCAGGGCCTTTGCTTATACCATCCCTAGTGTCTGGAATACCTTTGCCCTTTATTTCTTCATTCCAACTCCTATCATCCCCTAAGGCCCAATTAAAATGCCACTTCCACTAGGAAGCCCTCCTTGGTCGCCCACTGTACCACCTGATGCCCCTCTTGAACCGCTACAGCACTTATAGATTGTTGAGTCACTGGTTAGTATCATGTCCTGAACTCTTAAGTAGGCAAATAGGACCCATCTCTCCTTCTGAACTCTTACCTCCTTGCTTGAGGGTAGGATGCAGGATGGAGTTCATCCTTGAACCCTCTGCTGGGCCTCACACAGGGCCTAGCATATAGTATGCCTAATAATGAAAATAATGAAAATAATAATAATAATAATAGCTAATATTTATGTCCCAGGCACTGTTGTAGCTCCTTCCATGTAGTATCTCATTTAATTTTCAGAAGATAAGGTAGTATCCTCATTTAAAGTTGAGGAAACTGAGGCCCGGAGAAGTTAAGTAGTTTCCCCAGGTTCATTCATTTAGCAAGAGACTGAATCAGGACTTGAACCCAAGCTCTGATTGCAGAGTTCGTGCTCTTAAGCAAACATGACAATGCTGGTTGTTCAAGGAATTGTTGATCTTCTGCTGCCCTGTCCCAATACCCAGTACAAAGCCAGGTAAAATCTATGCCCACCCCCCCCCCAAAAAAAAAAACTATGCCCCCAAATTCCATGCACTGGGTCCTCACTTGGGGTCCCAATGTCGCTTATCCCTGGCTAAGCCCAGAAAGAGCCTTGCGAAGGGGGTCTGACATCTTCTGTCTTTACTCAAAAGAGCCTTCCAGCTTCCAAGAGGTCAGACAGATAAGGGAAATAAAATTCCTACAACCAGGGCTCATCACAGGGATGGAGAAGGTGGGACCTTCCTCCGAGGACTGGCCAATGCTGGGGACCTCCCTTTCAGGCCATGACAACGAAATCAGAATAAAACCAGTGGCAACAGCTACAATTTATGGAGGCCTTACTATGTGCCAGGCACTGTGCTAGGCCTTATCTAACTGAATTCTCTGAAGAACCCCATGTCCTATGGTCATACTTAATGGATGAGGAAAATCAGCTGGGAGAGGTTCCGGCACCTGCCCAAGTTCGCAGAGATGGCAGATGGTGAGAGCCAAGATTTGCTCCCAGGTCTGAGCCATTAAAGGAGACCATTCATGGCCACCCCACCCCATCTCAAGATGGCTCAGGACCCCTGTGTTTTTGAGGTATTAGCTATCTGGCCTGTGGGCTTGCTGTCTGGTCAGGTTGGGTCTGGGAGTAGGTACCAGGTCCCAGGACATTCCTGTTCAGAATCTGCCCAGAGTGGAGTGGACTCAGCGTCCCTAGAACACCTCTCCCCCAAACTCAGGCGGCTTTGAGAGACCCAGATACTCAGAGCTGGGCCCAGTTCTTTAACAGGGGTAGTGAGTACACACATATCTATTTTATTACCCTTTATAATTCATATGCATGCATCACCTATATTCTTTTATGACAGAAAAGGCTAGTATGGTAAAGTGAAAGGTAGATGTGGAATTTAGGTTAACATTCACTATGTCAATAAAAAATAGAGTCCACTTTAACAAAAAGTATCATTAAAACTGGAAGTGTGGAAGTGTCCTTTCTTCCACTGTCTGTTCATCTACCCATCTATCCATCCATCACCCCTCCCCACTCCTTCCTAGCTTTCCTCCCTTGTACCCATCCATCCATCCACCCATCCATCCAATAAATAAGCATTTCCTCAGCACTCAGTCCCTATAGCTATAACTAGGCAACAGATAAAAATAATCATCTGACGTTCCTGCTCTCAAAGAACTCTCAGTCTAGTTCAGCAATGATGCAGCCAGGGCCCAGAGAGGGGAAGTGATTTGTCCAAGGTCACACAGTGAGTTTAGGAGAGGTGAGGACGGCCCAGGCAGAGGGGCACACTTGGGAAAGGTCTTGGGCCTCCCCGCCTCAGAAGCAGTTCCCCTCAGTGACTGCTTTAAAACAGCCTCCCGGCTCTCCATGAGGGCCTGAAGAGCCTGCCTTACTCCTCTGCTGCTTTCATTTTTGTTTTTCTTTTGGAAGGGGAAAAGGGGGACAGCTGCTGCCGTCCAGCTGTTATGCTGGACCACACAGCCCAGCCCAGATGTGTCAGCCTCTCTGGGATGGGTGAAATGGCTCCTGGGCCAAGAACCAAGGGCCAACGGCCAAGGAAGCTGCGGCGAGGGCTCTGTCCCAGGAGAGTTGGGATAGGAGGCATGGCAAAGTCGGCAGCAGGGAAGCCCATAATTGCCCCAGTTGTCAAGTTGACTTTGCTGGTGACATGGTATATCCGGGTCATGGAGATCAGACTCTCTGACATTCCAAGGAAATTGATCCCTTTGACATATTTTCTGTGATGGTCAGAGTTCTAGACCATCTGTTGTGCCTCCCAGCCTCTTCTGAACCAGACGCTCCCACCCTTACCTTCTTCTTGCCCATCCTGGTCAAGGGTCCTGCCACTTATTCTGACTTCCCCTCATCTGCTTGAGGGGGTTACACAGTGTTCCAGCCAGAGCAATGCTCACGGTCCTGACTTAACTCCACCCAAATCTTCCTCCTCCATCCTGCCCCCTGGAGCGCAGAGACTTCCAGAAGAACAGCTTGTTCTCCAGCATCTGGAGCTGGTTTCTTGAGGGAGGTTCAGGGGCAAGCCAGGTCCCAGAGAGGGTGCTCCAGGAGGGCCTCTGGACCAGGATTTGCAGGAGGCACATGGTATGGGGAAGGGAAGACACAAGGTGGGGCTGTCCTTTGTCCTCTCCTGGCACAGCAGGCAGGCCAGCCAGACATAAACAGACCCTCCTGGGGAGTCCTGGGAGCTACAGAGAGCAAAGGTTCAAGTTCCCAGGTGGGTCAGGAAGCAGCATGTCCAAGCGAATCTGAGGACAGGGCATGGGACAGGCTGTGGGGCCTCTGCTCGGCTCACTGGCCAGGCGAGCTGCTGGCACTGCCCCTAACGCTCCAGGCATCCGTGGTTCCCTGGGGTTGAAAGTGGGAGAGAATGAAGGCGGGGTCCCTCTCATATCAGACAGCCCAAACTTCCCCTGGCCTAGAGAGCAAAGTGCAAACCAGAACGAGAGAGAGAGATTGAGAGAGAGAGAGAGAGAGATTCACTCCATGGGACCCCTGGCTCCTTTCCACACTTGGCTTTCTTACCTGCACAGGGGACAAGGATACCTCTACAGGCTCAATAAATGAGACAGTGCCTTCCAGCAAGTCCTTTGCCAAGAGGGATGGGGCCATGATGGAGAGAGTGTGCCAGGTCCCCTCCTCTAAGAAACCTGCCGTGACCTCGATCTCAGCTGGATGCTCTTCCTGGGGGGCCCGCCCTGCTCTGCACCATCCCTGCA